ACTTAAGACATTTGTTGAATGCAAATAAAGCATATTTTCGCATAACATTTGCATTTTCCTTTAGTAGCATATATTTTAGTTCTTCCTACACTATAATTGGTGAATTTGACATTTATTTGTTTAGAATTGAATATTTGTCGAGGTAGCGGAAAGTATGCAAGTGTAAAGTTTTGTGTTTTTATTCCTAACTTTAATGTTAAATTGTTGGTTTTTTTAAATTTTTTGTGTGTATAATAAGTTTAATCTTGTTTTCTTTTTGTTTTTGAAACAAATGTAAAATGTTTGTTTTCAATTGTTCGATACTTTTATTATTCTTTCAAGTCTAAATTCATTAATACTACCAAGTTATATGCCTGCCTCTTTGACCGAGTGGTTGCAAGTGCAACTGCCGGGCAAGAGGTCTCGGGTTTGATGCCCAGGTCGAACAAAGTATTACTGGGTTTTTAAAAATTCTCAATTCTAGCACGGAGTCTGGAATTGTGCCCGGTATATGGCAATAGGCTCACTCCCTATTACATGGGACTCAAAACATAAATAGTGAAAAATGGGTGTTACATTGTGCAGTGGCATTATGTGCACCTCTTCCCACCCCTTTGGGAATAAAAGGCGTGATGTTATGTTATGTTACCAAGTTACATTAAAATTGATTTAGTTTGTTAAACACTCATGACTCATATAAAGTCGAATTAGGTTGATTACTCACAGTTAGTTAAATTTTTTTAGGCTTAGGTATACCTTTAATTGAAAGAACAAGTAAAACATTGTGAAATAGACTTGTTTGTTATGTAATAGTAAACAATATTGCAAATAATTATGTGTGTGCAATATGCAGTAATAAAAATACTGTTGCATAATCGGAATGCAATAGGTATTTTATTATTATCTTTTTTATACTAAAACCAATTAGATAGTATGATTTTTATACTTTACTGCCTCATTAGCAGAGTGGTGCCAAGTGCGACTGCCGGGCAAGGGGTCTCTGGTTCGTTTCTCAGGTTGGGCAAAATATTATTGGGTTTTAAGTAAGTTATATAAGTGGTAAGTAAGAGTCTGGTAATGTGCCCGGTTTATAGCAATAGCCCCACCCCTATTACATGTGACATAAATAGTGAAAAGTGGGTGTTACATTGTACAGTGATGTTAAGTGACATAAGACATAATGTGCACTTCTGCCTACTCTTTGGGAATAAAAGGCGTTATGTTATGTTATGTATTATTTTTGAAGTAACTTTTCACCATAAAACCTTATGTCTATGAATAAGTGTTTAGTACCTATTTCTTCTAACTTGTTGAGTACCGTCATTATAGACACAATTAAAGAATAATAGGTTGCAGTCACCGGTGACCGCTTGGTGTTTGACAGTTTAATGTAGGTAGGCACCTATATTAACTAGTTTTGGTAGCTTCGTAAACCAGATTTTTGTCTGTCTACGATAACTTAGGGTGGATTTTAGTAAAAATCAACTTTACATTTACACTTTCCTTATCTGAATCACACAAATGATAACTTTATGGGAGTAACCATGCCAATAAAGAACTTAAAATTGCCAATATGTCAGCACTGCACCATTCATATTGTGAAAGATAAGATTAAGATAATATATAAACATATCTATGCTGAACACTTGTCATCATAATATACATGAATGATAGTATTGAAGTACATTAAAAATTTTGAGTGAATATTGTGAGTAAACTTCTATTGATGAGTATATTCTATTAATGAGTGAGCATTGAATATGAATTTTAGCACAGAACTTTCTTTTGTTTTATTTTTCCATAATAAAAGTAGCCTATGTTACTCCTTAGTACATCACCTACCTGCCAATAAAAGTCTTGCAGAATCGGTCCAGCGATTCCAGAGATTAGCCAGTACAAAGAGACAGACAGACAAAAGTTGTAAAAAAAGTTATTTTGGTATGTGTTATTGTATGTATATTCATAAGCATGTAGTAAAAAGTGGTTATTTTCAAATTAGAAACCGACACTTCAATTTTATTTATCTGTATAGGTTTGCACATAAAACCGAGACTGAAGTATCATTGGATCCAACAGAGATAGTAGTTATATACCTGCATGTATTGCATGTTTGTTTACATAGTTAATGTAAATAGATTTAATTTGATGTCTAGTAATTGTGTAAGAAATAGTAATGATAAATAATTATTATTATTATCAATTACTAGTTTGTTCTTTGATCGGGTGGAGTATTCCGAATTTTGCTGTTATTTTTCTTGTTTTAGTCATGAAATTGGTGCTTTTATTTTGTTGATAAATCCTGTTCTAAAATGTTAGTGTCTCAGATATTTCAACCATGATACAATACTGCATTCTATTTTTTTATTTTCGAATAAATTTCAACCTTATTGTCAAATGATAAGGTTAATTGTAAATGCATTACAAATATTTACAAAAACAGGGTACATTGATGAGCTGGTATCTGAACTTGAGGAAAGAAAAATAATTAAGTGGTAAAAAGTTTCACACATAAAGACACTTCTGCTTATTTGTTTTAAAGTCTAACTTTTAGGGGGTTAAAGGATAAAATTTTCAACTTTTGGATTAACCCGTATATCCCAAGCGGTCACCGGTGACTTCTCTCCACTAACTACATTACAGACCTTATTTCCAATGTTTAGAGACTACTTTTGCATAAACAAATTTAGGGGATGATTTTTAACAATTTTCAACAGGTTAAGTAGAGAATCAGCGAAAATGGGCTTGTGTCTTGCGAAAATATTGCTTTGTTATTATACAAATAACAGAACTATTTATGTAAATGTGTCTGAACTTAATTACGGACAGTCTGATAATAACCTTCATTAGGTCATAGATTTGTTTTGATTTCTCCATTTTGTTTTAGTGTCATATTTCTTATCACATACATATTATGATTATTTTAACTCGTCGAGTACCGGTTTTGTAGACACAATTATAGAACAATAGGTTGCGGTCACCGGTGACCGCTTGGTGTTTGACAGTTTAATGATAAATACATGTTTTAGAACATAGATGGACCTTTACACATTGATGTGCCAATTACTTTGAGGAAATGTGTATTGTAGGTCTTAGTGTGTGCCCAATTTGACTGATGCCGATACGGAGCCGCGGAGAACTCAACGGGTTGCCGGGGCTCCGGCACGAAGTGCAGGAGTAGGAACGGGTTGGTTTTTAGCCAGTAAGAGTCTGACTTTCCTTCCCGCCTCGACTAGGCGGGAGAAGGCATTCGATGATTTTCCCCCCTTAAAAAAAAGGTATTAGGTGTGCCATCAACTAATTTTTACTTTTTTACCATTAAACAGTAGCAACAAAGTTTACAGTTGACCTAATGGTAGGATGTTACCTACTGGGTGATTTTTCACATCAGGTAGGTAAGGTAATAAGAATTCAGTAACACAAACTTACCAATTCTGCCAATTGAACAATTTTTAACTATGTCACGGCTAACAAGCAACCCAATAAAGGTATTAATAATATTAAGTTATTAGTACCATGCTTAACTTAAGTAAAATCGCGGGTTACTCACGTGAATATACTGAGAAAGGCTCTACTTCTGGTTCGAAACTAGTAGAGCTTTTCTCAGTATATTCACGTGAGTAACCCGCGATTTTACTTAATTTAGTATGTCTCACGATAGTTATTATAAAAACCATGCTTATAAGCAAACACCAAGCGGACACCGGTGACCGCAACCTATTGTTCTATAATTGTGTCTATAATGACGGTACTCGACGAGTTAAAAACTCTGAAGGATAATAATTTGTTAAAAAAAATGCTAAGGACTTTCAGAAAACAACCTTGCAATACTAGAGAGAGATACCACAAATGCGTGTGGTGCCCAAAATTTTGTGTTCCGTGCCATCAATGGTACGTATGCCAATAGTTCGCTATACCTGTTTTAGAATATTGCTTCCATAGTAACATGGTGAGATACATTATTAACCTTATACAATGCTAAAGTTTCCCGCCGGTTTTCTGAGAGGCGGTGGTTATCATTTCGGTCACGGCATTTCGAGCCTAAGCATCCTCTCCTACGTCATATACTTCAGCATGGCTAGGAGTCTAGTCAATGACAGACTAACACCACAAAACTAGTAGTTATGAATGTATTTTTTTATGTGTGGAAAATCATCGAATGACTGCTCCCGCCCGGGTGAGGCGGGAGGGAGTGTCAGACTCTTAGTGACTAAAAACCACCCAGTTCCTTCTCCTGCACGTAGCCGGAGCCCTGGTAACCCGTTAGGTTCTCCGCGACATTATAAAAGGATAAGGTTATAACTATTAAAGAAATTCACGTTTGAGCGCCCGAACTTTGCGCGTTATCAATTGCGGAATTGTCTAGGTCAACTTACTCTATTGTATCTAATTTTTGTAGCCGAAGTGACTTTATTACAAGAGTATAAGGTAGAAAATGTATTGAAGATAATTTGCAAATTGGTGCTGGCGCCCGCGCGAGGCATCTTATGATCTGACGGACAATGCTATTTTGTTTATCGTTTTAAAAGATCCTGCTTAAGGATGAACTAAAATAAAATGCTTTAATATACCTTTCCTCAAATCTTGAAGTCCCTAACCTCAAAAGGACCAGCATGGCTGGCAACGCAGTTGTAATTTTAAGTGTGAATAGGCCGGCTGGACCGTAGTGATACCACAGGCTCACAGAAAACCGACGTGAAACAACGTTTGCATTGTGTTTCGTCGTGTGGGTGAGGTTACCGGAGGCCCAATTACCCCCCTCCCTAGTCTCCCAAATCCTCCACAGACCTCAAATTCCCAATTCCCAAAAGGCCGGTAACGCACTTGTACGGCTTGGTGTTTCGGGTGTCCATCGGCGGCGCCGATTGCTTACCATCAGGTGATCCGTATGCTCGTTTACCGGCTTATGATGTAAACAATAAAAAAAATCTCTGGAGTTATATCGTACTAGTTATCAGGTGATGACGCTCCTTTGCCGGGAGCGTCGCTCCTTTGCCGGGCTGTCGCATAAGACCTAGGTAGCGGTACAAGTTTTTACTTATTGCTTGTTTTATATTTTCGCTTCCGATTTCATTATTGTTTATCAAAAAATTCGTTAATGTAGTGATAAGTCATCCGGGCTTGTCTTTGTCGCGTGCTCTTTGATGCGCGGAGGAGTCGAGGTGGTAATGTTAATGGTCACACATCAATAGGCCGACCTCGGCTAGCGTAGCCTAACTTAAACCAAGAAAAAAAGGTTTCATTCGCGCGGAACAATCGTACTTCAATTTTGTACCAAGACGCTGATAGTTATAGCTGTTTTAATCAAGAATTTGTTTATTATTAACTACATTTTTGGTCTACAGTTCGAATACAGAACACGGGGTCAGTTCGATTCCCGGGATCCACTACGACGGTGGATTGAGATCGGCTAGTTATTAATTTCGGCCGTAAGTTTACAGAATCTGTCTGAACGCGGATCCACGCGAGCGAAACAAACAAGTGGTTAAGACAAATATATCACCCATAAACCAGAACCTTTTAAACTGTGATTTCTAACTCTTCTACCAATCGATTTAAGGGCCCTTTTCACCAAGCTCTGTAAAAACTCAGTTACACGTAACCTAAGTTTAAAGTAACCTAAGTTTAAAGACTCGTGTGGATCTGGGTAATCTGAGTTTACGTCAAACCGATTTCTCCGACACCATCCCACCAAAACTAGTTTACAACGAGAGAGTTACGAGAGCGTTTGGTTTCTACAACATGCATCAGGGAATTAAGCGACCTGCTGCGGTTTGCGTATATAAACAGTCATTTGCTGATGTAAAAAAAAAAAAATAATGTATTAAAATATTATTTTAAATTAAGATTATATTATATCTTATTATTTTAAATTAATATTATTAAAATATATACATATATTTTTACTTGTAACAACGGGACGAATTTTGATACATTCACACTTCACAGTGTTACAAGCTCAGAATGAAATCGCATATGAAACGGGGAACATAATACAAACATGATTTGAAAAAAAAAACATTATCCAATATAAAGCAATTGTTATATAGTATACTACTTAATTCCTATAATAAGCACGTCTTATTTAAAAAAGCAATGAATAATGCATTTAAATAATGAAAAATTAATATTTTTGTTCTAACTTTTATTCATACAATGGCAACTTTGTTTTTATTCCCCGATGTAGAAAATTTCAAATCATTCGTAAACTTTGTGTTTGACGAGTGCCCATCTTTCTTTTTCTGTGTGATTTCTGTGACCCTGCTTTTCTTTTTCGGACTATTGTGTGATAACTTTTACGACGACCTTTGCCTACTATACTACGCCATGTCTAACAGAACCGAAAATTTGAAGCGGAAGAGAGATCCAACCTTTGTCGCAAGTGAAAAAATGGCGTTAGTGGATCTGGTGGAGAAACACTTTGCTATTGTAGAGTGTAAAAAAACCGATGCCACAACAATACGCAGCAAAAATCAGGAGTGGCAAAAAATTGCAGAAGAATTTAATTCTGTTTCGTCAGTCCATCCAAGAGAATGGATTGTTTTGAAAAACTGCTGGGAAAACTTAAAGAAGAGAGCCAAAAGTGAGCAGACAGCACGTAACCAACATTATTTGGGAACAGGTAAAAAAGTCATTGAATAATATTAATCTGAAAATGTTTGATGTAACCCAATAATAAAAACCGAAAATATTTGCTATAGTTTCAAGTTTGTTGTAAGTTGCTGTTACTTAACTTCACATTCTTTTTCATATTTAAGGAGGAGGTCCACCCAGGAAATTGACTGTAGATCCAGCAATCGATCGAGTTCTAGATCTTATCCAGACTAGAGTGTCTGGATTTGTTAATGTGTATGACTCCGATGGCACTCATATTTTAGGTAAGATTTTTCACAAGTCTCGAACGTTTTATTATCTTTATATTATTGTATATAGTTACTACTTGTTAGACCTTACACACTTTGAATTGGTTATACCAACTTTGATATCATCATCATGGACTCGTGCACATACACATCAACTTTGCTGATGATCATTGCGTTACATGATGCAATGCATAATTTCTGGTTCTTTAAAAGACACACAGACAAACCTTCATTATTATTTACATATACATAGAATATGTAGGTTTGTCACCGAACTCTGACAAAGTCTGCGGAGACTGCCAGTAAATATGTAAATTGTTATTAAACTCATAAATAAGTTTAGCCTAGTCTTTTTGCTGTATTCAATTTGCATCATAACAAAATATATAAACAAGACTTTATTTTTCAGCATCCGGTAACAATCCAAGCACATCAGTGGCCGACCAGGCACCTCAAAATGATATATTATTATATTCAAATGGTAAGTATTAATTTGTTATTTCTTACGTAATGCAGATTTTAAATCAATTATATACATTGATTTAATTTGGTACCATGCATGTATTATATTGAAATTTAGATAATAGTAGAGTAATTTAAACAAATATGTTTAACAATTGTCTATTACTCTAACTATAAGCTCTGCTTAGTTTGGGTATAGACAGCATTGTGTGAAAGTTAAGGAATATTATCATTATTATTTTCATGAGCAGTCCGCTGCTCATGAAAATTTATCAATACCTAACATACTAAAAAAACATCTTAAGTGGGGCTTTCATAAAATAAAGAATAGTATTGTACCTTGCATTAGACTCATTTGCACTTGAGCAGATGAGATTCTTTGTATCATTGTTTAGAGAGGAAAATAAAATATTCTAAAGTTCATAGTTTTTATGATAATGACACAAAAATTAATGAAAGATGTGTATGTACATACATAGAGGTACATAACATTACATGTGATAATCTAAAGTGATATTCACTATTTTTATTAAATAATTTGTTATAGATGCCAGTGCTACTCCTGTACTTGATGTACAGGACTCCACGGAGGCCGCTGTAGTTACTGAGACAGCTGCTGCTACATTTGAAGTTGTAAGTATTGTGAACTAAATTTGAAAACAATCCACTATACCGGTATTTACTCTTACGTATAAGGTCTGCACCTTACCATGGTGGACAGATCATATTAATACCATCATCATGGTATTTAAGTCCCCTCTTTGAAGACTGGCAAAACGTAACATATGTTCCTTACCTGCATGACGCAGGTCCTCTCTGAACATAGTCGTTTCAGGATTTTCTTACCTCTGAATCAAGCAGAAGTAACTGAAGAGCTTAGGCAGTTAAAAGGACCTTATAAAAAAAGGTGGTTAATGGACATCACAATTTTATTTTTTAAGACTCTTCCACTATTCTATGCTTACAACAGATGATGTCCAAAATTAAAAACATACCTATTATATGTTTTTTTATAAAATTGTATTTTATGCAGGACTGGTCTCAGTACACTCCAGCAATGTTGAGAGCACCAGTTACCACAGCACTTGTTGCCTCAAGGAGTCCATCACCTGAGGCAACTGGCAGTAGAGTGGAACCTCCACCACACAAAAGAACAACTATCACTCCACCTAGGTTAGTAATATTATAAACTGTTCATTATCTCTTTGCATAAAAAATATTATAATTAAAATTCAAGTAAGGAAGTAAACTGTTTCAATAGAAATCACTACAATATTAAACTATTAGCTGTTGTTATAAGTATTTTTTTTTTATATTTATTTAATAAAATTATTGTTTAATTGTTGCAGAGTTATATCCACTGAACGTCCTATAGCGACGGCAAGTCGCAGAAGGCCAATTTTAAGGCGTGAAAGCCTTAACGCGCAACGCATCAACACATTACTAAATTGTAATAAAAATGCTGATGAAGAACATGCCGCAAATATGGCAATTTTGCGGCTTCAAGAGCAGAGGGAGGAAGAAATGCTGGTTCAAGAAAAATTAAAAACGGAACAAGAAAAAATAAAACTAGAAATTTTGAAAATACAATTAAAAAAATTACAAGATTATTTATAAGTAGTTTTTATTTCCTTTCAAACAAAATTCACAAATTCATTACAGAATACCTTTTTTCTTATTATTCCAGAGCAATTTAATTTAATTCAAAGCAACTTTAAAATTAACAACACCTAATTTATTGTTACAGATGACTATCTTTTTCAAGTTTCAAAATCAAATCATTTATCTATTTCAATAGTCCATAAACAAGCACTTTTGCAATGTCTAAATTGAAATTGAGCATCAGTGAAGCTAGGTGCTCTTTTCAAAATGTAAATTTATGAAAATAGTGCACTGGATGTTTATGTAAAAACATATGGTTGATTTTAACATAATATTACTTGCATTGTATTATGCAGACTGACAATCTGAAATAAGATTTCAATTAATTTATTCTTGGAATTTGAACAGCTACTGACTGAGTAATGTCCAATGGTGCTGGGCCAAATATTTATCTTGTTAGTCTGAAAAGATAAACATATAATTATTTATTTATCCATAAAAGGTAGGTACAATATAAAAAAAAAATGTTAGTTTCAGTAAAATAAATAGTGAGTAAGTATAAACAAAAAGTAGTTAGAAAGTAAAATTAAAATCCTGTTTGCATGTTTGTTTTAATTTGGGCTGGCAGGCAAAGTATAACTGGGTTTATTAAAAATTCTCAGTAGTAGCACGGAGTTTGGAATTGTGCCCAGTATATGGCAATAGGCTCACCCCATTATATGGGAGTGCTAACATAAATAGTGAAAAGACCTACTTTTCACTATTTATGTTTCATTGTACAGTGGCATTAAGTGCCGTGATGTGCACCTCTGCCTACCGCTTCAGGGATAAAAAGCGTAATGATATAGTAATGATTACATACAACTGTCAACTCACCGTCCAAAGTAGTTTGTGATAAGTTCATTACGTCTTCTATAATTTGGATTTGTCCTGTATGATTGTCCTATATTAATATTTTCACTGCTAATATCACCCTGAGTTATTAATGCATCCCAAGAATCTGGATTTATAATTTGGTTGTCATTAGGAGGTATGACTTCACCACTTCTTCTTGCAATATTGTGTAGTACAGCAGTAGCAATGATGATTGGGAAGCTATTCTGCACAGAAACTCCCAACCCCATAGCCATGGCTGGGAAACGTCTTTTCCATAATCCAAATACTCTTTCTATACAATTCCTCGTTCTAATATGAGACTCATTATATAAGTCTTCTGGACCATTACTGCATTGTTCTAATGGAGTCATCATGTAACTGTTACACGCATAACCTGCGTCTCCTACAAGAACAGCATTTCCATAGTGTCCCTGATCAAACAATGCCCGTCTATAGCAGTTGTTGAAGATATATGAGTCATGTGTGCTTCCTGGCCAACGAGAGACCACATCTGTAAATTCCAATTTTGCATTGCAGATGGCTTGAACGTTTAAAGAAAAGTAGTTTTTCCGGTTACGGAATATCTCTGGATTTTCGCCACCTAAAAATATATTTATTATGCATACATTGCAAGTATAAATTACATAAATATGTGTTAGTTTAATATACATTTATAACATCTTACCTGGTGACTTGATAAACTTTACATGTGTGCAATCTATAGCACCAATAACATATGGGAATTTAGCTCTTTTGGAAAATTCAATTTGTGTTTTGCGTATTTCATCTGGTAATTCAGGAAAGTAAATATGGCGCGGTCGGAGTGAGGCAATAGCAGCACTGACTCTGTGTACAATTCTATGGGCAGTAGATGTACTAAATCCACATAAATCAGCAGCTGTCATTTGATAGCATCCAGTCGCATAGAAACGCAGAGCGCATAGTAACTGATTGATGGGAGACACACTACTATTTCTGAAACAAGTAAATTAGCCATATAAGAACTTATTGCTTGTAAAATATGTAAATAGTAGGTAGGGAACTAGATTCGTTAAACTATGTAGGTTTCTAATATTGAAATGAAAAATCATACTTACATATTTGTAGGAAATTCTAATTTATCTTCAATAGACTCCAATACACATAGAACTGTTGGTTTTGTGAGACGAAATCTTGTTGTAAAATCTTTATCATCAAGAGTGTCGAAATGTTCTTCTCTCACTCGAATCCACCTCGGACGACGAACTAGCGTAAATTTCTAGTCATATCTTTCGTCAAAAGCAAGCACTAAAGCCCTTTTCATCTTATTTTTAACGTAATACCAAGTAATTGAAATAATAATGTTTGTAATTTTATTATGACACAACAACAAGTGACACTAGTGACAGTGGCTAAACTGGCTTAGCGAGGCTAAACGCCGAGAGCACTGTCAAAAACTGAGTTCCGTGTAAACTAGTTTCTGTTTGTAGCGGTGAAATGTAAAATGAAGCTGTAACTTCGTTTAAACGCTTTAAATTCGATTAGACGCTTTAAATCAGTTTTGTTAGGTGTAATCGTGATCAGTTTCGTTGGTGAAAAGGGGCCTAACTGTACTGGTTAACTACATTTAAATCGTAATGCTGGTGGACCCGCTTGGCTAACAATTAACAAACAGCAAACACGAACATGTGGATGGATGTTTGCCTCTTCTTTGTTTGTTTAAAGGCTGTTCGGCAAACAGTTTGCGATGCATCCAGTTATCCACGCGCTAGCTACACATCGATGTTTGGGACTTTATTTGTTGTGTAAATCAAATACTAAAGTATTTGTGGCAAACATCAAGTCATTAGGTGTGTAGATCAAACAGTTGAACTTTACAGTTTTACTTGAATGCGTGTAAGCTATCTATATATCTACGATCTCAAAATCAAATCAAATCATTATTTTTCCCTAACAAGGTATACAGTGTTCACATTATTATAGCCTATCTTATTCTGCCTATATATATATATATAATTAAAACTATAAAACAAGGTATATCATATTAAATGAAAAAAAAATGTCATTAAAGGTTTTAAACAAAAAGAAAGGTATATTGCGATTTAACTGTCGCGGAGAACCTAACGGGCTACCGGGGCTCCGGCACGACGCGACGTGCAGGAGAAGGAACGGGGTGGTTTTTAGTCAGTAAGTGTCTGACACTCCCTCCCGCCTCACCCAGGCGGGAGCAGTCATTCGATGAATTTCTCCCCTTAAAAAAATACGATTTAACTGCACCGTTCTACTGTACAGTAAAAACGGAAGGTGTGTAGCCTTCATAAAATAATGGCAGACTCTTCGCAAAGAAGGTCTGCAGTTCAGCAATGGATTATCACAGGCTGTGACGTAGAATTGTTAGTTACTAGGTTCAACCAAGTTTCAGATTCATGGACCTTCTCTCGGCGATTGTACTAGTTTATTGTTTAACGATTGAATTATTTAAAAGGCTATTAGGTAGTAATTAGTATACCTACCCAATTACTTATATCGTGTTTGGCGATAGCGAGTACGTTATTATTGTCGCATCGATTTCGATGCTAAAGTCAGTTTTATGATACAAATATAACAAGAAAATGAATGCTGTATGGTTGGCGCACTGATCGGGCAACCGGCTGCCAAAGTATCTTGGTAATTTCAATTAGATCACGCATCTAAGAGTTGCTTTACAGACGTACTTTTTTAAAAGAGTAACGAATGGAGTTTCTTGCTCGTTCTTCTCCATTCGAATCTACGTTTTGGAATGAGCCCCTAGCTTCACTGACGTACTGACTGATAGACTATTATTTATTTTGTATTTGTTGACGTCTCAAATGTACCAAATTATGGTTTACTTAATTGAAATAAATGCTTTGACTTTGACTTACTTTTTTTATTAAGTACTTAAATAAATACTAGTTTGAAACTAGCAGACTTTTAGGTGGATTTTATTATAAAGAAACCAAAGTCGGTTCATCCGTTGGGGTCTTAAGATAGCATAGGAAAGTAAGTTTAAAAACAATGCCTTTTATTGGTCTTCCTGGGTCAGGTAAAAATGTTCACAATAGCCACCCACATTACCGGTACTGTAAGCATTTCGTTACATTGTAAATGGGGCCCAGATTATGACATAGTGCGATTGAAGCAACGGCCATATTTTTAAACCTCGTGTTATTATTATTGAGGTAGCGAGGTAGCGAAAATACTAAGAATTTTTACCGATAAGGAATTGTAAACAGTCCTTGGGAAGGGAACTAATGATTTTTCATTGTAAAGTTTAAAACTATGATTAAAAGAGAGAAATAGACGGCGTGTTTCACCATTACCGATTATCGTAACACATGTCATTTCTGAATGGTGGAACGGTGGCAAAAAAGCACACGGCCCACCGACCCTTAAGAAACCTATTCACTCCCCTCTTGAAGAACCCCATGTTGTAGCCCACTGGGAAAACCACGGCAGGGAGTTCATTCCACAATCAGAGGGTCCGTGGGAGAAAATTCCTCTGAAACCGAACTGTACGGGACCATTTGGGCTCCAATGTGTGAGCCTGAACTCTGATGTCGATGGCGAGTGGTGCGATGATAGAAAGTGGCCGTGGGCATCATATCAAACAATTCCGCAGAACACAACCCATTATACAAGACCATTATATTTAATGGACGTTGTTTCGATAGAAGTAGAGTAGTAAGTGGATTGTCTTTTATCATCACATATCTGTCACAAATGCACAAGAATTCCACTTGCCTCTCCTAGGGCCGATTTGTCCAAACGCCAGATAAATTGTAACTAATAAATTGACAATTCTTCCTTTTTAAAAACTCAAATATCAATTTTAAACTGTCAAACACCAAGCGGTCACCGGTGACCGCAACCTCGAGTTAATTTACAGTTAAAAACTAACTGATGATAAGAAAATCGGTCCTCAATGACTTCCAAATCGGCCGTTTAAAAGCAACCTGTATATTATTATGACGTCGTCCTTTATGTATATATCACAAAATAATGTTATCCTTTTATTCTTATTTGTATTTACTTAATTAGTTTTTGCCTGCTATAGATCCCACTTTTTTAATTTTCGAGCAATTCTATTTAGTGCTCTTCTGAAGAGAATGAAGCAGAAAAATCTACTACACTGAATTTCTACAACACACGC